GGAGCGTGGCAGCTGGGGAGCCATGGCAGAGGAAGGCAACGGGTAGGACAGGAAGTGAAGGGGATTCCCAGTTCCTAGTGCGCCGGGGCAGGGGACGGGTTAAGGAGGCAGCAGCCAAGTGAGTTACCCCCCCACCTGCCTGAGCCATCAGCACCCCTGTTCTTGGGGAAGCGCCCAAGAAGAGGACTCAGTGGGGCCATGCCCCCTCCCCTGAGCCCAGCCCCTGCAGCACAGCGCCCCCTAGTGCCATGATGGGGCATTGGGGCCAGCGCTGAGATCGCCCCCAACCTGCGCCCTGCAGCACAGCGAGCAACTCTACTTGGGGGGCTGGGATGGCGTTTCCCACTCTGCAGGGGGCAGCAGCGCACACAGGCCGGCCCCAAGTGTCCTGGGTCCCAGCCCCACACCCCGCTCTCACCCACCGGACATTTCTCCCCTCCCAGAGCCAGGGACAGGACTCCTGACTCCCACTGCCCCCCAGAAGGCCCACTTCCCAGCTCTAACCACTAGACCCTACTCCCCGTCCCCGATCCCGAGCCCATGGTAGCAGACAGAGTGGCAGGGCGTGCTGAGCCCTCTGTGAATCCCCCAGCACAGCGAATCCCAGAAAGGGAGGCTCCCAGGGAAGCCAGCATGGCCAAGGGCCTGCAGGGCTGGGCCCACCCTGCGCTTCCCAGCCCCCCGGTCTGTGAGCACCACGGCAGCCTCACCCCACCCCACCCCCACCGCCACCCTGCAGGATGGGAACTACAACTCCCAGGGTGCCCCTCTCTGCTCCACCCCACCCTGCCCAGGCCTGAGCCTGGCCTGCAGCCCTGGCTCCCAGCACTTGTGCAACCCAGCGAAGCAGGTCGGGCCTGAACAGGCAGCTGGGAGAGGCTCCCGCCCTTCCCAGGATCAGGGTGGGACAGCGAGTTCTGGGATCCCGCGGGAGGAGGGGCCCCAGGTATGCATGGGGTTGGCCCCCAGCCTTGCTAGCCAACGGCACAGCTGGGCACGGAACCCAAGACTCCTGGCTCCCAACCCCTCCTGCTCTCACCACTAGGCCCTGCTCCCCTCCCAGGGCGGAGAATCCAGTAGTCCCTACCACTAGCCCTTCCTTCTCCCTGCTCCCTAAATCCCACCTGGACTGAGAATTGCCCTGGCTTCCAGCCCCCCTCGCCCCCGCACTAACCACTAGCCCTTACTGTGCAGCCTGGACACAGGTTTGCAAGGCAGGGGATCGTGGACCCTCCCCGCTTTGCGCTGAGAGACAGGGGCTGGGGGTGGGGCAGGGTGGGTCTCAAAACTCTTTAGATGGTGACACCTGTAAACAGAAACACACTCAGAGGGCGGGAACCAGCCAGCCCAGAGATCCGGAGCTGACTCACCTGGCTGTTCCAGCAGGGCAATTCCCCAGGCCTCTCCCACCCCGGCCAGGGCGTGGCCCTCCCCCAGTGCCTGGCTCCGAAACCCAGCATCTGGGAGGACCAAAACCACCCACTGGGACCGGCCTGGGGCCTGGGACCTGTAATGGAGGAGGAGACTTCCACGCGCCTCTCTGCTGGGTACTGCATGTTCCTTCTCCCATGTAGCTACACCAGTGGGAAATTTTAGCAAAGTGGGGGGGAAGGGGAGGAATCAGACCTGCCTTGCATGACAAAGGGTGACACACACCCCACCAGCTGCAGGGAACGTCCTTCCTACCATGGAAATGCAGCCACCTCTGGGGTAGAACAGGGTGGCTAGTTAACAAGCGCACGGCAGCACTGCTCAAGCAAAGCTGAAATGCAGCTACATCTGGGGTGGGGCATGGCCGATGATGAACAGTGCCCTTCCCCCACATATTCTGGGAAACACAGGAGCGCCCATGATCAGTCCCGGGCTACGCTGGCTTGACCCTGGTGATGAGACGCTAAAGCCACAGAGTCCCCACTTCCGGCAGCGCAGACTAACGACCGTCCAGCAGCAGCTCTGGTCAAGCTATGCGGCAGCCTTCTGCCAGGGTGACTCGCCCGAAGCAGACCTTGCTAGCCCTGGGTCCCAGTGAACAAGTCTATCCTGTCCTGCCCTCTGCTGCATGGAATCAGAACTGCTGAGACATGTGTCATAGGACCTATACTGCATACCAGGAAGGGGGATTCTCCGTGGAAGAGGGAAGAGAATTCCAGGTGGTTTAACCACTAGACCCCACACCCCAACCAGAGCTCAGCATAGGACCCAGAGTCCTGCCTCCCAGCCTCCCCTGGTGTGGACACACATGCACCTAACACCCCACGACCTACCTTGGCCCAGGGCTGGCTGTAACAGGGACTGCAGGGCCACAACCAGGAACAAGGGGAGAAGACTGTAAGAGGGAAGAGAATTCCAGGTGGTTTAACCACTAGACCCCACACCCCAACCAGAGCTCAGCATAGGACCCAGAGTCCTGCCTCCCAGCCTCCCCTGGTGTGGACACACATGCACCTAACACCCCACGACCTACCTTGGCCCAGGGCTGGCTGTAACAGGGACTGCAGGGCCACAACCAGGAACAAGGGGAGAAGACTGTAGCCTGCCATCGCTCCGCTGGTTGTCCGGGAGGGAAGGGGGAACATAGAGGAGTCACTCCCCCTCTCCCTGGAGGGATCACAGCTCCGATGGTGCAACAGTAACACGCTCCCCTAGCAATACCGTCTCCTGCTTCCCAGCATCCTTAGACCATGGGGGCCCCCCTTGGTAATGGGGGTGACAAGGAACCAGCAGCCCCCCAGTGTTTGCACCACCTGGGAAAGGGACAGAGAAAGAGGGATCAGAGCCAGGAGACGCCCCCGGCCCCCCCCCCCCCAGCTCTGCATCCACGAGACCCACGGCCCACCAAGTTGCCCCTCCAGCAGGCCGGCTCCTTGGAGCACTCGACAATCCACCCGCTTACATGGGGGGGGCCTGAAATTGGCTTTGCCTCTTGGGGGAGCAGGGTAGGGTCCATGGTCAGAATTTGGGGTTATTCGAGCAAGGGGTTCACAAGATGCCCCCCACCTCAGCAGTCACAACGTATCTGGGGGGAGAGGTTCTGCGCACACTTGGGGTGCAAACCGCCTGGGACCTGCCCCAGACTGAACTCGGGTGCCCAGGATTTTTTTCTCCGCCAGTTCCGGGGGCCCACTGCCCCCCGGCAAGGGGGTTCCACTGAAGAAGTCATGAAAGGGTTCAGTTAGGAACTCGGAGCACCAGCAGCCGGGGTCAGAGAGCATGAAACTGGGCATGTGCCGAAATAACAACCCCCGGCTCTTATCTGTACCATAACCCCCATTCTACAGATGGGGAAACTGAGGCACGCAGCAGGGAAGTGACTTGCCTGGGGTCACCCAGTGGGCAAAGCTGGAACTATAATGCAGACGTCCCAAGTCCCAACCCAGAGCTCAGTCCACTAGGCCACGCTGTCTCCCCTAGCAAGCCTGCAGCAGCCCTCATTGCCACGGCAGCAAGGGCAACGCCAAATTCAAGGCAGCCCCGCAAAAGGCAGCACCACCGCAGCGGGAAGCAGATGTCACACCGGCCCTGCAGACCGAGCCCCAGGCTCCAGTCCCAATTCTGACCTTCATTACCCTGCTCCGTGCCTCAGTTTCCCCATCTGTGCAGGAAGAGGAAAACCAGACAGACCTGTCTCCCAGCAGGGGGTACGAGAGTCCATTCAGACAAGCTCTTGAGAGCAGGGACTGTCTCAGTCAGTCTTTAGCCAACACCTCACCCACAGGGTCATTCTCGGGCCGGACCCGCCCAGATGACATGAAAGCGGCAGCAGGCTGACCTACCCCGCCCGAGCGTGCACGCTGCTTGTTAAGTGGCTGTCTAGGACCTGGCCGTGCAAGGGAGATTCCCTGCTCTGCAGCCGATGGGATCTGCCATTTCCAGGTTACCCCGGATCCATCAGACCCCCCTGGGGTGCTTAGAACATTCCCAGAATCCCTGCCATGGGCCCTCTGCGGCCTCCCCGTGCTACGGAATCACGAGTGGACTATTTTGACATAAACAGGCGGGATAGGAGGGGAATCGTGAAGCTAAACCTTAAAGCTTGGAAAGACCCTGGATCCTAGCGAGATGGGGCTGGGCAAGTATCTGGAGTGGGGGGGGGGCACTCAAAGATTTTGGTAAGTGGTTAAGGGCCCCTTCTACGGAGGGGTGTGGGACAGAGGTTGGGTGCAAAGGGAGCTTGGGGTAGGGGATCGGGGTGCAGGAGAGGGCGTGGGGTCCGAGAGGGAGTTTGGGTAAAGGAGGGAGTTATGACTGGGGGCCAGGAGTTGGGGTGCAGGGTTCAGGAAGGGTTTATGGGTGCACAGGGTTTGGGCGGGGGCCTGGGGCAGGGAGTGGGGTGTGGGAGGGACTGGAGTGTCACATAGAGGCTCTGGCCGGGAGGCGCTTACCTAGGTGGCTCCCAGCCAGCAGCCCAGCAGGACCCTCCCTGCCTGCCACAGCCACAGGTCACTCAAAGCAGCTGTAAGCCGGGTGCTTGGGCAGCCACCCAGGAGAGATTAGCAGAGCACCCGCAACCGGCAGCCTGTGTTTCTACTGGTGGTGCACATCCACACATGCCTGGTGCACAGAACAAAATTTATTCCGCTCATGGAGGGGAAAAGTGAGAGGGAACCTGGCAGCGTGGCCAATGGGAGCTGAGGCGATTGTGCTGGGGGTGGGGTTAGTATGTGAAGTCTCCCGCCACTGCAAGGGGCACATGGCACCTAGAGGCACCCCACCAGCTAGCTGCTTTGAGTGATCAGGGAGCCTGCTGCACCCTAAGGCTTTGCAGGCCAGATCTGGCCCATGGGACGCATCTTGCCCACCTTGATCTAGGGTGCTGCATCCCCACCCCTCACTGACCTAGCTCAGGATCTACTCGGTGGCCCCTCCGCACGTCCAGACCTCCAGGGATGTTTCTGGGCAGCGCCCGGTGGGTTTGGGGGACGATCAGAAAACTGCAGGGTGGGGAGGAGGAGACGTGTGCTGCCCCTCCCCCACCCCCAGCATCTGGTGGGTGGAGACCAAGCTTTGAGCAGGGCTGCAGATCAAAGGGCCAGTGGAGGACATGAAAGCCCAAGCGAGAATGGTGGGGAGGGAGGAAGAGGCGGCAGGGCCCCTGGGGAGGGGCAGGAATAGGGACCCTGGTGTGGGGGAAGAAGTTTCCCGACAGCTGGATGGAGCCATGCCAGGGACCCAGCCCTTCGGAGGTGCCAATCGGGAAAGGGATGTCTGGCCCTGGGCAGTTTCTACCCCTCCAATCGTGGGGGCGGGGAGCAAGCTTCCCACGTGCCCTACCAGGGGAGCATCGCCACAGCACGGAGCAGACCACCCCCCGTCTCTGCTCTCCGCGGGCCCTCGTCCTAGGCACAGGGGAGCTACCGCTGCAGCGGCCCTGCAAGCGGCCCAGGGCACCCACGCGCTGCACAGGCCTCGGCCGAATCCAACCTCACAGCGCCCCGGAGAGGAAAGAGCGTGGCAGGTGG